GGCGGCCGCTCCCGCCCGAGGGAAGCGCGCGGCGGGCTGCAGGCGCCCTCTGGAAGGCAGCAGAAGAAAGCCCCATTCAGTTTGAATTTGCAGAAATGTAATCCGCTCGCGGGCGGCGGGAACAGATGCGAGCTCCACTCCGCAGCCTGTGCACTTTCAAATCCCTGGTAGCCCCTCCTTCCCCGCGCGCAACAGCCAAACTCGACCCTCGCTGGAGAGGGGAGGGGATCCGCGGAGTGGGTGGCGGAGCCACCTGAGCGACAGACAGGGGGACCCTGCGCGGCCTCGGAGACGCGCGCTCCCGGGCCGCTCTAGTCGGGCCGCCTCCGGCTGAGCCTCTCGAAGAGATTCTACGCTTGGGCTTTCTGGGCCTTTAGGGCGGTGAAATCCACCCTAGCCGCACCCACCGGCAGGGGCGGGGAGAGAGATCTGAACCGCGAGGACTGGGTTGAGTTAGATGCCCAGCCCAGACCCTGGCACGAGGTAGGGCCCCCTGGGCCCCGGATGGATGGATGGATTGGTGGGAGGTAGGGAGGTGGCAGCAGACGGATTGCTGTGTCTAGAGCAGCAGCAACAGTAGTAGTAGCAGCAATATAGGAACCAGGGCGTTTGCAGCCTCTGCCTCGTAGGCTTACATCTTCTTTGCTCCTCCTGAGCCGTAGCGGACGATTGCAGGACCAAGCCCACCGGCGCTTTTGTTCTGTGCGCGCGGTGACTACTCACCTCTCATAAACAACCGCAGCTGCCATGACGACTTTGACCCTCTCCAAGATCCCCAACGTCTTCAAAATGAAGAATCAATCGTGTGAGAGAGAAGCCGGAGAGTGGTTAGAGGGAGGCATGGACAAAATGCTACCTGTTGAGGTGCCCGCGCGTAATGCAAACTTAACCCCTAGTCACGCAGCATCAGAGCTGAAAGGCAGGATTCGTTCCTAACAAAGTTCCTTTCATTGTTTACTCCTCGAGAAGCCTGTATGGCCGGCGTCAGCCCTTGTCAATGCTTTGCGATGGAGGTGGGGAGGGGGGCACCATGGCGTGGTACAGCTGTCATTAATCCAGTGTCTTGGAGACTAGCTGACCGATCTGGAAAGTGACCCAGAGAAATGCCTGTTTTGAATAGGTCTCATTTTGATTACGCTGCTATACTCCTGTATCCTACATATTACAAGTCACCAGCCTCACTATTGTTGCATTCTGTGGGTCATCTCACTGTTACCATTTCCCAATATTAAAGACACTTTAAAACGGTTTTGTTGTTGTTGTTGTTCTGTTTAAGGGACTCCTTTGCCCCCACCTTGCCTCTACAGTTTCTGCAAGGTTCATCCAGTTCCGCCGGTATCTCTAATTCTGTAATCAAACGTTAAGAGGAGATGGTGACTAGGGCAGAACCAGCAGAGATGTCCAACAAGTGCCTCATGAGTGAGAAGCATAGACCTTCCCTGGAGAAAACCATTCTGACTCTTCCACCTGAAAAGGTTTGGGGTTTCCCACAGTGCTGTTATTAACAGAGGATGACTTAAAAAAATTAAGACATCAGCTCTTTATTTACAGATTTATTTATTATGACTTAAGGTAAATTTCAAACGCTGTTCATCCAAGTATATTTAGTCTAAAAAAAAGGTTCCACAACAGTGGTAGAAGGCAGGCCAGCCCGTGGCCTGGTGGTCAAGGTGGCTAAATCCTACATGGCCAGCTGGATGGTTCAAGACCTGACTGGTGGCTTGAAAAGCACATCAGGTTCATATCCATGTCCAGAATCACAAAAAGAGGGAGAAATGGAGGAGAAAGGATTGAGGCATGATCATGCCTGATGGGGGAGGGGCTCTCTCTCGCTCGCTCTCTCTCTCTCTCTCTCTCTCACCCATGTGCCCTCTGGGGGGAAAAAAAAAAAACCCAAGGTGGAAGGCATTTACAGTGAAATAGAGATTTTCTTTCCTTCTAATTATCCTCTTGGGGTGAAGGTCAGGAAAGAGGTGAGCAACAGAGAAAATCCAGGCCCATTAAATCTTTGTCAAGCCTGCTTCCTGGGTTTGATTCAAGTTCACTGTTAATTTCATCAGCTTGGATAGATGCCTAAGAAAAGTCCAAATCCTACCCCTGCCTGGTCTTAGTAACTGGTGTTTGAACTACAGGTCTTTTTCTCTGAAATAGCCTTATTTAACAAGGAATAACCTCAGATATTCAATTCTATAAGACAAATTGCTCTCAGATATGCAGAAAGCATCTGATTGAATAGCAATAGTCCATCATTAAAGATCTCCTAGTAATCAGCCCAAACTAAATTTCTAGATTTATCCTTCTTTGGGGTCCCCCTGGGCACTACATTTCAGCTCTCTTAATCTGGGATCAGGCTCCCCCACCTCCACACCTTTGCCTATGCCACACCATCCCCCAAACTGCTGTCTTCAACCCATTTCAACCTAAAACAGATGTACCCTTTCCATGAAACCCTCTCTAACCAATGAGCAGCAAGGTCATCACCCCTCTGTTCTCTCTTACTACATACCACTCATTTCACGTGCTTTGTATGTATTACTTACTAAGAATGCCATTATTCTCTTAGGCTCATTGAGGACAGAGGCCTGTCTTAGTCCACTATTGCATTGCTAAAAGAAATACCTGGGACTGGGCAATTCACAAAGAATAGGGACTTATTCAACTCACTATTCTGGGTACTGGCAAGTTCGAGAGCACAAGGTCTGCAATCAGGTGAGCCCCTGGTGCTATGTCACAACGTGGCCAGCAGAAGCCAAGAAGATGCCAGGCACAGACGGAGAGAGAGAGACCTGGAGGCAGCCATCTTCTTCTCTTTTTTTAATCCATTTTTATTTTTTAATTTGACCTGAGAGAGAGTTTATAACAACCCACTGTCATGGGAATAACCTCCTCCTACAAGAGCTACAACACACTCCCTCTTGAGAGACAGCATTCATCCGGTGATGGGGGTGGTTCTCCCATGATTCAAACTTGCCGACTAGGCCATACCTCTTAAAGGTCTCCCATTATACTGGGGACAGAATTCCAACACGTGAACCTTCGGAGGATAAACCATTAACAAAACGAAAAAAGGGGCTTTTTCTAATGTTATCTAATGTTATTTTTATTTGCTCTACAGAACCTAGCACAGTGCCTGAGACATGGTCATTGTCTGATAAATATTTGTCAAGTAAAAGAATGGAAGTAATCATTCACTGATTCTCACATAGAGTTTTATTACTTCTGATGTCCTTGGGGAGACATTACTAATGACTTTTTAAGAGCTTCTTTAGTTACATTGTTACTTGCCTGTGAGGATCAACAAATATAATCATTTGTCTTGTCAAAAATGGGTCATTATCTAACTTGGGTTAATCCTTTGAAAAACATTACCATGTATCGCAGTGTGCTGGGAAACCCTCACAAGGCTTCCCCCTCCCCTTGGGGCCAGCAGTTGGTGTAGTGGTTAAGATGCTGAACTCCCACATGGCTGACTGTGGTTGCTGTCCTGGATCCAGTGACTTGAAAAATCACACCAGGCACGCGTACATGTAAGCCCAAAATCTTGAGAGAAGACTGGAGGAGAAGGGATTGCAGCATGGCCTTCCTCCCTAGGGCTGAGTCCTCACTTTCCCTCTGTTTCTCTCTGTCTCCAGCAGGTGCATGTGCCTTGTGGCAAAAACCTAAAAAAAATAAATAAATTTTTAAAAAAATAAAAAAAAAACCTTTCTCCATTCTTGTACCAGCTGCTTTCTTCCCCATCTCCTCTCTCCGTATGGCTGGAAAACTGTCTCTGTGCTTCCACAGAACGCCAGCTAGAAGACCCAGCTGGAAGCAGACAAAGACAACTAAGAACAATCAGGCTGGCACAGCCAAGAAGCGCAAGTTGGCTAGAAGGGGTTGGACGGGCAGAAGCTGGCTGAACACTTGAGAAGGAACAGATAGCAAGGCAATGACATCAGGCATGAATAAATGTTGGCTAGAAGATGTCCTGAGAACTCTATTGGTTCTTCCTAAGCAATTCATCCCCTAATTAACGGAGACTGGACTTGAATTCGTGTCCCCAGAATTCAAGTGCTTTTTTTTTTTGTTTTCACAACATCCAGCCGTTGAAGGTGCACGATGCAAAGGCTGAGGAACAGAGGCTTCCTCAGCCATAGGATTGGTGTGCAAATGCAATGCAGTGTGCTCCTGGAGAGCAGGCTGTCATCAGCACCCCACAATGAAGTATTTCTCTAAACGAGGATCGGAACAACTCACCTCGCTGCACTCCTGTTTCCTTAGCCTGTAGAACTGGGATCTTAAGGAACTGTGAAGGGTTCAGATGGTGGCACAGCAGTAAAACGCAATGCTCTGCATGATTGACTCACATGGGAAGTTTCCATCCAGAGACCTCCTTGAGTGCACCAGGCACACACGTGCCCATGAGCACAGGTGGCTGAACTGGGAGTGGATTGCAGTACAAAGAGCCTATGGTAGTGCTGTCTCTCTGTCTCTGTCTCTCTCTGTCCATCTCTCCCTCGGTGTCTCTCTTGCACAGGGAAGAGACAAATTAACCTTTTTTTTTTTCCTTTCAGGTTTCTGTCATAGAATGAGTGCACTTGCAGGAGAGAGACAGTGAGTGGGAAAGTGAGAAATCATCCCCTAAAATGTATAGCCACATTGCAATCCCTTCTCCTCCATTCTCCTCCTGGAATTCTGGGCTTGCATACACACTCAAGGCACTGGGTCTGGGTCTTGAACCAAGACTGGCCATGTGAGAGCCCAGTGCCTTAACAAGTATGCCGCTTTCTGGTCCCAATAAATAAACTTCTTTTAAAAGGGAACTGTGGGAGCCAGCAGGTAGTGTAGTGGTTAAGGCACTGGACTCCCACATGGCCGACTGTGGTTTGAGTCCTGGACCTGGCAGCTTGCTTTCTCATTTTCCCTCTCTCCCTCCCTCTGTCTCTCTCTGGTCAGATAAAATAAATAAATAAATAAATAAATAAATAAATAAATAAATAAATAAACAAATAAATAAAATAATGATGAATAAAATTGAATAAAATAATATTTTTTATAAAAAGAACTGTGAGCATTAAATGAGATTATACATGTACTTAGCAATTGCCAAGCACACCATAAGCACAGGGACAATTTTAACTCTCACATCTTCCATCAATACTACTATCGTCACCATAACACTGAGAGAAGTCACTCAAGAATGCCCAGAAGCCACAAACACAACTGCCCTGTCACTGACAAATCATAAAGCTTGGTCTCCAGGTCGATCTCTTTCCTGAATCTACAGGCTATGGCAACCCTTTTCATCTCTACCAGGCTGTGGGATAAGATCTCAGACTTACTCTGAGCTCAGGAAATTCTCTCTCCCTCTCTCTCTCTCTCTCTCTCTCTCTCTCTCTCTCTCAAACACACCACACATACACACACACACACACACACACACACACACACCTTTACTAGGACTTTACCCAAGTTCACCTAACAACTAGAAGACACATTTACTTCCTCTCCTTCCTGGCTTTTATAAAATCCATCAGCAAATTCAATGGTCTCTCCCTTTGTTCAAAGCACACCTACCTGTGACCACTGCTCATGACTCTTACCTCTGTCACCCTATTCAAGCCCCAATCCCTTCTCTTCTTCTAACTGGTAGCCACTGCTCCCACACGAAAGCCAAAACCACCTTTGAAAATGGTAATCAGGGGGCCAACAAGTAGCTTGATGATTAAGGCTCTGGACTCCCACGTGGATGACTACAGTTTCAGTCCCGGACCTGGTGGCTTGCTTTTTCACTTTCCCCCAATCTCTCTGTCTCTCTCTGGTAGCACACATGCCCTGTAGCAAATTTTAAAAAATAATGATGATGACGATGATAAATATAATTGGATAAATTATACAAAATGGGAATCAGATCATATCGCTTCCCTCCCCAAAACTGTTCAACAGACCCCCACAGAAGACACTCCACTGGCCTTATCCTGATGTGGACTCTCTCTTCTGTATCTCTCACCTCCTAGGGACCAACCTTACAACCTGCTACTCTTCCTCCAAGTCACTCTGCTTCAAATTCTTTGCCCCATTATTCCCTCAGCTGCCCTAACAAAATACCTAGCCTGGCGACTAAATGGCACTTATTTCTCTTGGTCCTGGAGGCTGGAGAATCCAAGATCAAGGGACCAGTGGATTTAATATAAAGAATTAACTCACACAATTATGATGGCTGAGAAGTCCAGCTGCATTCAGGTGCCAGCTGCTTCAGTCCCTGCAAGGTCTCTTTTTCTCACTTGCAAACAGCGATCTCCTCACCATAGAAGAGAGACACACGCAGAGAGAAAGAGAGATCTGGTCTCTTCTTCTAATAAGGACAGCGATCCCTCCATGAGGGTCACACTCTCATGACTTCAACTAAGCCTGATTATCCCCCAAGGATCTCACCTCCAGCTACCATTACACTGGGGGTTTGAACTTCAACATATGAATGGGCAGGGGGTAGACACAGACATCCAGTCTACACTCTGCCAGCAGCACACTTCCGTATCTTCTGAGTTCCTCACTTCATTCCAGACTTTGCTTGTACTACCAGAAATCGGGGGCCCATCCCAGGTTTCCTCATCCCCACTCTATCCCCACATCTTGCTCAGCTTTTCTTCATGTCTTTCATCACGAGCCAACAGAAGAGTGCACATTAGTTCATTGATGAGCTCGCTCGCGCTCTCTCTCTCTCTCTCGCTCTCTCCTATTTAAGGTTGATGAAGCTGGGGACTTGTGTCCCAAAGCCCTGTGTGTCTGGTACATTGCAGCTGCTCAGCAATGCCAATATGCAGCTTCGTCTCACCTCTTAGTCTGTCCATGTGAGAGTAGAGGAAACTCCTGGGCTTTGTGTAGGTGGTGGTTTCAAGCCACTGAGCTGATGGTGTTCACAAAGAAAATGGGACATTCTTCAAATAAGAGACTGATTGCTTCCCTAGGAGAGCTGGGTGCTTATCATGGCTGTACCCCATCAGCTCCCAAGAGCTGAATGTAATGGCCGTTCCAATAGGAAAAATGTATCCCCACCTCCCAGCTACAGAGGAGCTTTAGGCCTTGATGTTCGGTTTCTTTCTCCAAATTCCAGATAGAGGCTACGGAGAAGAAACGGAATTCAAAATACTCTCTAAGAGGAGGCCATCACACATACTTCTGTGGACCATTGATCCAGCATGCGCTTCTTATTTAAAAGTGGCTTCCCATCTACGTTAACATCAATGTCATCTCTGTGGTCCTACAAGGCCCTGTGCGTTCTACACCCCACCCTGTGGGACCTACATTCCCTCCCTTAACCGGACTCCCAACTCACCTTTTCCTATTCAATTCCACTCCATCACACTGGCCTGCATAGGGGCCTGATCTCTGGTGGACGCTTCGCATTTTCTGTTCCTTGGAATATTTTTCACCAAAATCTGTAGAACTGACTTCTACATCTTCCAGTTTTTGCCCATATTTCATCTCTCCTGTGCATCTTTTCCCCAGCCTTTCTCTACACTGCGTATTTCCCCCAGACTGCTCTAGTTCCCCACACCTCCCTCTCTATTCCCCTTTCCTCCTTCCTTTCTGCCTTTGTCTTGCCGCCTAACAAACCATATCACTTCCTTATTATTTAGATTATTGTCTGTCTCTCTCACTAGAATGTTGGCTCCATGAGGGTGGGGCTTTGGGTTAAGTGTGCCATGCATGGTGCATGGCCCTGGGAAGTATTCAGAGCAAATCCATTGTTGGATGAATTTGTGATTCACAGTGGGAAGACCCCTGCAGAATGGGAAACTATAATAAACTAGAAGACAGAAAAGAGATGCAACACTGAGTCTCTCTGGGAAAAACACATGTCATAGGGTGTATTGGGAAAAAATCAATATTTATGCCACAAAGATAAACTTCCAAGACAAGTGCCACATTTGTCTTATAGCAGGATCAGAAAGATTTTTCTTAACCAATATGGCTTATTTATGGCTCTGGCTGGCTGCTAACTCTTGTTCTTTTTTTTTTTTTTCTTTCTTTCTTTCTTCTCTTAAATAGAGTTCTTTGCCATAGGGTTTGTACATTCACCAGACAGACAGAAAGAAAGTGAGAAATCATCTCCCAGCGGGATGGCCACACCACAATCCTTTATCCTCCATTCTCCTCTCAGGGTTCTGGACAGGCATGCACACACACCTGGCATGAGTTTCAAGTCATGGGGACTGGGACTCCACCACGGTCAGCCATGTGGAAATCCAGTGTCTCAACTACCATGCCACCTGCTGGCCCCCTCCTGTGCATTTCTTTTCTTTCTTTCCCTTTCTTTCTTTTTTTCCTTCTTTATTTCTTTTTCTTCTTTTTTCTGTCTTTCTTTTTTCTAGAGAGAGAGTTTTTTTTGCTATTTGTGCTCATCAGAGAGACAGTGAGAAACTTTTTGCTATTTGTGCTCATCAGAGAGACAGAAAGAGACAGAAAACAAGATATCACCCCCTGGGGGATGATCATGCAGCAATCTCTTTTCCTCTGTTCTCATCTCGGGATTTTGGACATGCATACACACCCAGCATGAGCTTTAAGTCACTGGGTTCAAGACTCAAACCACTATCAACTATGTGGGAGTCCAGTGACATAACCATTACCCCATTTGCTGGTCCCCTCCTGTCTATTTCTTAATGGGAATCAGGCAAGTCAGCAGCAAAAATGGATCTGCAGTGGAACCTACAGACTGAGAATCTATGACGGGCAGCTATACAATGTCCAGTGAGTAGAGAGGTGTGGTAGAAGACGGGGCACTCTGGAACAGAGCCCACTCACCATCACAGGACATGACATTTAGGCTGACTGCAGAAGCCTGACTGAAATTCAGGTGGACAGAGGCAATCAAGAAGAGGCAGGTGACGCCCTGCTTGTTGATTTGGCTCTCCTTATCCTCCACAGATCAGAGAAGAGGCCCAGGGACTCACAGAGAGAGCTACCGTAGCCCTGAGCAGGACACTTGTCTTTGAGCATCAACTTTCTTCATCTGTAAAGGAAAGAATTTCTCTCCATCATTACTAAGTTTCAAGACTTTTGCCAGGATAAAATGAGGCAAATATATGCTAATAAAGTATAAGCTGTTTTGGTTATTGCTTCTAAACAGTGATCTTCAAAAGAAGTGGAAAGTGTCTAGGACATGAATTAGAGAACAATACACTTAAAATAAAATGAGGAGTGAATGGCTGAAAAAAAATGGCTGTTCAAGGCCCCTTCCTTCCGTAAAGGAAACCTTCTAGTGAGCATTAGCATGGGATCAAAATAACTCCATGCTGTATGTCCACTGTCATGGGTCCACCCACATAGATGCCTTTACCTCAGACCTTTTTAACTCTAATCTCCCAGTTTTTCTCCTTCCGGGCTCCTGATCTACTGGCCAATTCATCTGTTACCGCTAACGAGTCTGTGTGTAGATAGAACATAGATAAATGGGTAGATATAAATAAATCAATAGATGATAGCAGATAAACAGCCATATGATAGAGACAATAAAGAATAGAAAGATACATAGATAAATGACTGAGAAAAAATAGATCAATAGATAGATAACAGATCGGTCAATAGATAAAGAAGGAGGAGAGTGGGAGGAGGAAAGGAAGGGAAGAAGAAAGGAAGGAAGGGAAGTGAGATATTCTCTATTTACACCAGCTAGATGTCGATGACCAGGTACATTACCAAAGCTCCACCAATCAGGGTTTCCCTGTGTCTTTAAGGCCCATTCTGAGTGCAGCCGTGATGCTGTCCCTTCTACTTTTGGGCTTGTACACATACACACACTGTGCAAGAACCACCAAGCTCATGCCTTTTCCACCTCTATCAGTGGGTCCTCAGTGGTACCTTCCAAATGATAGCCACAGATGTGAGCTAAGGCAGAGAGTCTGTGCAACAGCAGGAGGGCTCACAGGGGTCTGGGCTAATCGTCAATACTGCTGACTTGGACCCTCGGGCCCTGCTCATGTTTGATCCCAGATGCAGTGCTCAGTAGATCCCATCCATCTTGTAATAAATGCTACTTAAACCCAGTCAGCCTTATAACCTGATGAGTCTGACAGAACCCAAGCTGTGCATCAGTCCTGGAGGAATGGTCACTTGGGATCACATATCCAGATGTTTCATCTCTATTGAGTTCAGTGTAGCACACCAAGTGATCCTTTCTTTTTTTCTTTCTTTCTTTCTTTTTTTTTTTTGCATTCCCTTCGAGCAGTGTTTGAGAGCACAGTGGCCACGGTGCTGGCTCTGCGCAGGGAGAAGATGTTTGTGGCAGAGGTGTTCACGGGCCAGGAGTGTGGAGTGGTGCTGGACAGGACCTGTTTCTACGCCGAGCAAGGAGGGCAGACCTACGACGAAGGCTACCTGGTGAAGGCTGACGACAGCAGTGAAGACGTGAGCCCACACTCCTCCTTAGCCAGGGAGGGCCAGGCGTGCAGCCGGGGGCAGACTGGATGGGCCTTTGTTTGGTTCCACGGTCCACGTTTCCGAGCTGAGGGAGCTGCTGCTCGTACCTGTTGCTCTGCAGCAGTTAAGTGCCCTCGCAGGAAGATCCTTGGGGCGGCAGCTCTGAAGGGCAGGCGTCCTTCCACTCAGCTCGGCCTCTGCCCTGCCCTTGCCCGCTGTGGTCTGGGATGAGCTACCTCGTCTCCCCAGGCTTCCCGTTCCATAGGGTGGCTTTGGAATTCTCTAAGATGCTCCTTAGAATGGTGTGTGTACATGCGTTTAATTTCTATGATAGCATTAATGGTGGGTGTGTGTGTGTATGTAATCTACATGTGATTTATAGAAAATTTATTTATTGGTCTCCTCCTGACCTGTAGAAAACCGAGTTCACAGTGAAGAACGTGCAGGTGCGAGGAGGGTACGTGCTGCACGTCGGGACCATCTACGGCCACTTGAAAGTGGGGGACCAGGTCCGGCTGTTCATTGACGAGGTGAGCTCTCTGTGCTGGCACCCACTGGAGCGGATTTCGCTCAACTCCTCCCTTGGCTCCCCGTGGAATTATACGCAGAGTGCAGGAGTCGATTCCGGTGCGTTCTGTGGGGTGCAGCCGTGTGTTCAATCTGTACGTTCCCAAGTCAGTATTCGCCGTGAGTTGAGCTGAGACCCTACAGACTTGTTTACATGGATTGCTTTAGAAAGAACTACTGGGACCAGCAGATGGTGTAACGTTATATCCCTAGACGCCCATGTTCAAGTCCCAGACCCAGCGACTTAAACTCACCCCGTGGGGCCGGCAGGTGGCATGGAGGTTAAGGGCACTGGACTCCCATATGGCCGACTACAGTTTACTTTCCCTTTCTCTCTGTGTCCCTCTCTGAGCAAATTAAAACAAATAAAGTTTTTTTTTTTTTGAGAGGTTTTTCACTATAGGGCGCGTGAGCTCGCCAGACAGACAGAGAGAGACAGAGAGACAGAAAGCGAGAAATCACTCCCCAGGGGGGATGGTCACGCTGCAATCCCTTCTCTTCCATTCTCCTCTCGGGATCTTGGGCATGCACGCACACGTGCCCGGCGTGAGTTTTAAGCCACCGAGTCCAGGACGTGAACCACGGTCGACTACGTGGGAATCCAGCGACATAGCCATTACGCTAACTGCTGGTCCCCCCAAGTGATCTTTTCTGATGAGTGTAAAGTTTTCCACTGCAGATGGCATGTTCTTGCTCTAGAACCTGGGGGGTCTGCTTTATAACTTCCTCATGGGACTTTGCCCCACTGGTATTACAGGTGACCTAAGATCTGCTGGATCATTTAATCCACTGTAGCCTAGATCTACTCCAGAGCCCTTCTCTGGACCTCATCTACAGCTGGCAGCCTTCTTCATATCCCAGTCTATGGGTTAGAAGAGTATTCTTAGATATGAAATATGCCACTTCCAGAAAATATAGGACCTACCAGCTTCCTTCTTCGTTTTCCTTTACTTGGGAGCCGATGCCTCAAACCACTGGACTAGGAAATAATAGTCATTGGTTCTCATTTTGGAGGTTGGCTACCATATCCCCTTTCTCTTGAGTATGGTTACCTAAGCAAGTAGCCATAGGTTCCTCGAAGGAAGGACTGACCAGATCATAACCGTACATAATTGCCATAAAATGATAAAGTTCCTCCTGAAGACCTTATCTTTGTTCTGTCAGTGAGCCTCAGGTTGGAAAGTGGGCCCAAGTGTGGAAATTGAGCCAAATATCATGATTTAATTATTGGGCAACTGCCCTCAACTTCCCAATCATCCTTTTTTACTTCTCCTAGTTTATTAATTAAATAATACTCTTGTTTCCTAGCCACTTCTCTCATCCCTAGGTAAATCACCTTCCAAAGTTCTCTGTAGGTGAGGCCTCACAGTCTGCCATTCAGTTTTGATGCTCATCACAATAATTGCACCTGCCTGGCTTCTGGTGGTTCGGCATTGCCATTCATCATCTGTTATTTCAAGATCCTGGCAAATCGACTGATCCCAGTGAGGCCAGTTCTGCAGTGCAATCTCCTACCATCAGCCCTGGGAGAGCCACTGCCCAGTTTCTCACTGACGATGGTGTCTTTCTCTCTAGCAGCCTCTTTAGTACTTAGGGAAATGGGAAATAGTGTGCATTTACCTCCAAGAGAATGCTGATAACAGTCAAGGAGGGAACTCAGGCACCAAGGTAAAAAACAACTCCATGGAATTGTGCTAAGAGGAATCATGGGACTTTTTTTGTCATTTAATTTTCATTTGAGATAATATGGAAAAGAGATGCTATCCATGAATTGAGATAGTAGAATGATTCCATTTCAATATTTCAATTTATTTATGCTACTCATGAACCTCAGGGCTTCCTAAAATTTTAATTAAGAATTCAGGTAGCCTAGAAATATCTTTCACAAGTTTTTTGGACTCTTCGGGTGTGGTGGCGCCCACCCTATGGCAAAAACAAATGTTTTGGACTCTAAATAGTATCAGATAAGTCTGATGTGGGCCTGAGCCTCTGCATAGGAACTATGAGAGTATCTAGAATTCTTTCCAGGTTGTAGGAGAAAAGCTAAGGCACAACATCTCATGACATCATGAGTTTTAACTGTAACCCATCATCAACAGGGGGTCAGCATTTTCTCAGAGGACCCTGGATCTGATAAAAACAAGGAGAAATAGGGCCAACTCAGTTAAGGGAGCTGGATATCACATGGCCAGCCCAGCAGTTCAAATCCCAGCCCTGGAGGCTTGAGAAACACACTGGGCACATACACATGCATGCTCAAAACCCCAAGAGGGTGAAGAAATGGAGAAGGGATTGCAGCATGACCACGCTCCATTGTGAGGTGCTTTCTCCCTTTGTCTCTCTGGTGAGCACACATGTCCTATGGCAAATAAAAATAATAAGAAGAAATAGCACAGACACTTCTAATATCTACTGTTGTCTTTCAGAGTCCAGATGTCTCACAAACCCTATTGATCTCGTTCAGCTTGGACACCATGTTCCAAGAGCATAATCCTTGAATAATCCAAGTCTCTAAAGTTGTAGCTGATATAAAGTATGAATATCTTGGGACAAAAGAAATTTGTTTGGTCTAAGAAAAAAAAAAATTGCCAGAATCTGTTGAATAAACTTACATAATTTTAGATGTGCAAAATTTTAAGTTTCTTTTTTTTAAAAAAGGACCTCACGTCATTAATTATTTCATCTTTTTAAACTCATTTTACCGTCCCCCCTTCAAGTACAGCTTTTCATCTTATTCCCAGAACCCAGAGAAAGTACCATTATCTCTACCTAAGGTCCGAGGGGGGGAATGAGGAAACAAGGTAGTAGTGACATATCCTGCAGGTAAGCTGTGACTAGAACGAGGTTCAAACTATTTCAAAGGATTTCTTGTGACACTAGAGCTCACTTAACTGACACAGAAATAGAACACGTTAAAAGAGCAAAATCCTGGAATGACTTAGTAGGAAACCTCTACCGAACAAAGATCTTTTAAGTGTTCATTAGACGTTGGTGTCAGTAACAATGACAATGTCACTAAAAATGAACCCTGATACAAAATGATAATCTCTTGCTACTATAATACCATCAAAGAAAACTACTATAAGTCATTCTATTTTCCTTTCCGTTTGTTGTTGTTGTTGTTGTTGTTGTTGTTGTTGTTTAATCAGGGGAAAGTGTGAACGCAGTATTCCACTAGCACAAATTATGCAGTCGAACTTCCCACATTTGGAGAAATCGCAGGGGTCAACACACCCAGAGTGCAATGGATAAGCCCAGCCCTAGAAAAACCACCTTTGTGATCATGGTATCTCCCCAGCCAGTTAAGTGTAAAATCATTCCACTTTCAGTGTAAGAACTAGAAGCCTTTAGTACTGTATTCCAAAGATATCATTTTCTCTACGGAAGATAGATACATAGACGTTTTGCAAGTCACCTTCCTGGCACTGTTGAAGTAGTTAGACATCATACCGGCCAGGCTAAATGTTAGATACCATGAAACAAAACACAGAATGTGCAGCTTTTAAGCATGTGGAACTTATATAAGTTTAAGGAGAGTTTAATTTTATGAGGGTCATAAATTATAAATGCAGTTATATTATATATTCTATTCTATTCTCCATTCTTTACTCTGCAACTTTAGGAAGACTCTGAAAATTAGATTATTGAACCCAGCTGCTGTGGTGCAGCAGTAATGCTCATGCCACTATGGAAACCACATGGAGACCACAATTCAGATTGTGGGTCAGCCTAGAAAATATGCCAGGTATGCAAGTGAGTGTCCAGGGTCTTAAGGAGCTGGACAGCTGAGGGAAGGGGATCACAGTATGATCCCCTGTTCAGAGTGTCCTTTCTCTCTCACATGAGTGCTTTCTGTCATTAAAAACAAATAGCTTATACACCAGTATAACACCCAGCACTGATATAACCAAAATCATGCAAAAATGAAAAAGAGACAAGATCCATAATGACCTTAAAACTCATAGAATACTATCATGTTCTAAGATGAAGCACTACATTACTATCTCAAAACTAAAACTTGAATTTTCTCTTGGTGTACCTCTAGGCTCCAGGGTTTTGTTCAAGGAAGTTTGCAAGTCATGGGTAATGTGCTACCATCACGACTCACTGTGCAATTTTCTTTGCTCCTCAGAGCTGAGATGAATTGGTTTGCAGCAGGATTCAATTACCGGGGACAGATTTCATTTTTAAATCTGAACATTTTTGCAAAGGTGTGATATTTTTAGAAAGCCGCCTGATATTTCTTTTCTGAAGCACTACTGATTTTATTGAGATACCAACCATAATAAAGCAAAAATCATAAAGTTAAATATTATAATAAAGAAGAATATACTTATGTTTTTTTTGTTTTTAAAAGAAAATAAATCTATTATAACTTAAAATATTGAAGAAGGATTTTGTTGAATTTCCAGTTTCGGTCTCTCTGAAATGAAAAAAATCATATTGTAGGAATATATATCAATGATCTTGGAAATGTGTATATCTTTTGATCCAGCAAATTTACTTATAGGAATTTATTCATAAAAGAATTCCTAGAAAGTATGCAAAGATGTGCACACAAATATGTTTTGCCATGTTTACCTGTGACATTTTACAAAGTACTGGGGGAAATCCAATTGTGTAACATTAGGGGATTGAATAAGTAAGATATGATACTTCCAAACTTACATGCACAACATATTGAGGTATGGAAGAATATTTATGGGCAAGAAAGTGATAACACTAGGTGGAAATATTATAATACTAATAATAATTACAGAATTAATCATTGAATAAAGATATGCATATACAAGTCATGCATTAAAAAATAATTGAGGGGGACCAGCAGATGGCATAACAGTTACGTCACTGTACTCTCATGTAGTAGACCGTGGTTCAAGTCCTAGACCTGGAGGCTGAAACATAGGCCAGGTGCATGTGCATGCAAACTCAAAAATCCTGAGAGGAGAATGGAGGAGAAGATACTGCGGTGTGATCATTGCCCCTAGAGGATGATTTCTCACTTTCTGTTTCTATCTCTTTGGCAAGTGCATGTACCCTGTAGAAAAATATCTCTGAAAATAATAATAACAATAATAATAATAATAAAACATATTTTAATAGTGATTATCTTTAGGTAGTAGAATACATGTAATATTTATTTTGACTTGCACTTTTCTATTGAGTTCTTGGAAAAGTCATAACGTGTTTTTCTTTTCTTTCTTTCTTTTTTTTTTTTTTTTGAAAGGTTTTTGCTATACGGAGCGTGCGCTCACAAGAAAGACAGAGAGAGACAGAGAGACAGAAAGTGAGAAATCACCTCCACCAGAGGGGGGATGGCCATGCCACAATGCCCTGTCCTCCATTCCCTTTTCGGAATCTTGGGCATGCACACACATGTGCCCAGCATAAGTTTAAGCCACCGGGTCCGGGACTCAAACTGCAGCCAACTACATAGGAGTCCAGCAACATAGCCATTATGCTAACTGCTGCTCCCCATGACATGTTTTTCTATACAAAAATGCATCATGACTTTTCCCACAACCACAATACACCTGTGGAGTACCTTTTATGTGCTAGGAACTATGCTAAGTGCTGAGCATGTGAGATGGTTCTGGAACATAACCTAAAATTTTTGGACACCCTTCCAATTGAGAAATCTGTATCCTCTCTTCTTGAATTTGTGCTAGGGCCTGCTTGGACCAATAGAGTGTGATGGAAGTCATGCCATTGATTGACTTTAGAAGCTGGCCCATAAAAGGCTAAGGAACTGCCACTTGACTCTCTTGGAATGCTTACTGTCAGGAAACCCCTCTCCTTGGGAAGTTCCTTCTCTAAACCTAGCCATCATGCTGTGAGAACTCAAGTCCCATGGGAGTGCGCCTGTCGGCAGTCTCAGTTGAGCTCACTCTTCATTCATCAGCTCAGGCACCAGGTGGATACTTTTTTTTTTTTGGAGAGGTTTTTTGCTATCAGGCGCGTGCGCTCGCCAGACAGACAGAGAGAGACATAGAGACAGAAAGCAAGAAATCACCCCCCGGGGGGATGGTCACGCCGCTATCCCTTCTCCTCCATTCTCCTCTCGGGATCTTGGGCACGCACACACACGCGCCCGGTGTGAGTTTTAAGCCACCAGGTCCAGGATGCGAACTGCGGTCGACTACGTGGGAGTCCAGCGACATAGCCATTACGCTAACTGCTGGTTCCCCTTCTTTTTTTTTTTTTTTTTTTTTTGCACCAGGTGGATACCTGAAGCATCCTTCTTAAAAGTGGTTTCTGCAGCAGTCGCAGCTCTTTTATTCCTCAGCCTTGAGTTTTGTCAACTGAGGTCAAGGTATCATGAACCAGAGAATAACCATCCTCATGGTGTCCTTTCTAAATTCCTCACTGACAAGAAGTGTGATCATAAAAAAAAAATGTGCTAAACAGCAATACTGCTAAGTTCATAATGCTGTTACACAATGAAGATAACCAGAACAGCATGTCACGGTGAATAACATTTTGGTAGACAAGGTAGAAGGCAAAAAAGTTACCAAGCAAGATAGTCACAGGTGAATGCTAGGAATAAATAAGGTTATGGGATTTTATCCATTGCATTTATCACTAACTACTGTACCATGTGATCTATTTTACTTATTTAGCTTGTCTATTATTTTAATCAGTGTTCTCCAGAGAAACAAAACCAATAGGACATATGCAATAGGCTACATACATATACATGCACAAATATATAGGAAAAGAGGTTTATTTTAAGGAATTGACTCACCTGATTATGGAAGCCTGGAAAATCCAAAATCTGCATGGCAGACTGGTAGGCTGAAGTCCCAGGACCAAGTGAAGTTGCAGTTTCAAGTCTGAAAATGGTCTCAACAATTCCTTCTCTCAGGGGACCTCAGTCTTTTCTCTGAAGGCCTTCAACTGATTGAACAAAGCCAACCTGCATTGTAGAAGATAATACGCTTTACCCAGTCTACTGACTGAACAATAAACATGCTGACTTTGACAGCAACATCTAGACTGGTGCTTGATCAAATATTTGAGTACAGTGGCCCAGCCAAGTTGACACACAAAGTTAACACATCACCTCTATTGTCTGGCTCTCTCCACTAGTGCAGGAGTCCTTGTCTGTTGGTTCGCTATTTTATCACATAGGCCAGTGCCTGGCACATGGTAGTCATTCGTTAACTATTTATGGTATCACAACATACGTGTGGAAATTCACTAGGGATGTCACATTACTAGTGTAGTCGAGAACACCGCTCTGAAGAGGTGATATTTGAAACAAGACCGGAGAGAGAGAAAGCTGCATAAAGAGCTAGGGGAAAGGCACTCAGAAAAAAAACACACATAGCTTCTACGGCACAGCATGGGAACCAAAATGTTCACAGAAGGAAGAGGTAAGTGTGATCTGGACACAAGGAGCAGAGCACTGAGAGATGATGCTGTAGTCAGCAGAAACCAGCAACTTAGAGCACTGCAGTCAGGCTACTTTGCGCAAATGAGAAAAAGACACCTTTTCTTGGATCAGAAGTTACCTTCTAGCAGGATACATGACCAGGTTGGATGACAACCCTTTGACCACCTTGACAATGCACTCTAAGCAGGACACAAGTGGTCCAACTGTACCCAGTGGCTTTGTTTATAGTAGTAAAACGTGAAACTTTGCAAGACAGTCTCACCAGGGAAGGTTCCTGGTTCAAGTCCCTGAATAGGTTAGACACATGCTTGCCAATGATCTGGGGTTAGCTGAAGGCTGGGGATGGATTAGGTGCTTTTTCTCTCTTACTTTCTCAGAAGAAATAAACAGGTACACTTTTAAAAAAATGATTCTGACTTATTCGAAAAGGGAAGAAGCAAAAAGACCCTAAAAATCTTTTTTGCACAGATGGGTAATAAAGTCCCCTTGGATAAGTGGTAGGCAGCAGGGTGGAGAGCTAGACAGATTTGACACTTATTTTGGAAGTTGAACTAATAGGACTTGTTAATGGATTCAATTTAGAGGGTGAAGAAAATGAGGAAAGAAGAGTGCTTTAGTTAGTTTGAGCTGTGTTACAAAAATACCATAGACTGGGTGGCTTAAACAACAAACATTTATTTCCCATGGTTTTCTGGTTTTTGTTGTTGTTGTTGTTTTCTCATTTGATGATGATGACACAGCATGAAGACCCTCACTAAACAGATATAATTATTGTACATCTTTACAGCACACCAGCTGAACTTTCTGGGCATGAGTATACTGCATATTAGTCCAATCAAAGATATTACCATACATATTCCACATATAGAACTACCATATGATCCAGCAATTCCACTCCTGGGCATTTACCCAAA